ATCCATCTGAACAGTGATCCAGGAGTCCGATTCAGCCCGTTGGACCCAGAGCACCAAATTGAAGGTTACTTGAGTCAGTGTTCTTGTGAAGTATTCCTGTGCTTCCGTCCCCCTTCTTAGGTGTTCTGTTCTAAAACCCAGTGTGGACTGATGTTAGCACCTCAAGGCTGCTAACCCTCTTGGCACACTGAACTCTTGTGTGCGGTTAGCATCAGTCCATCTGAGACACGTGAGTGGCACTGTCCCTCTCCTGGGGCTTGCCCTGACTGGATGAAGCCGGAACTTCCATTTCTACTTCTGTTATGGGAAGGGTTCTGCTTTTGACTTTTTGTTTTTAATTTATATCTTTGTGTATGTGCCTGCTTGTCTGTATGTGCACCAGATGCATGTACTTCCTACGGAGACCAGAAGAGGGAGTCAGAGTCCCTAGAACTGGAGTTGTGAGCTGCCATCTTAGTTCGGAAACTTTTTCTCTTTATGAATAAAATGAAAATGTAAAGGCGGGTGTAGTCCTTGCCACTGTCCCTGTCATAAAGCCAGTTTTGGTCCAGCCTCTAGACTCTCTCCGTGTTGTTGGGATGAGGAAAAGTTCCAGCCCATGAGATCTCTGCTTCATGAGCTGATCCCACCACATTGAAGGAATTTAATGATTTTAAATCTAGCAACTAATGAAAGCCATGTGCCTCCCAGATGAATTCCAGGGGGTATGGATTTCATGTATATAAAGTGGGGAATTTAGGGGGCTGGAGAGATGGCTCAGTGGTTAAGAGCACTGGCTGGTCTTGCAGAGGACCCAGGTTCGGTTCCCAGCAAACATATGGCAGCTACGAACATCCATAACTCCAGTTCCAGGGGATCTGACATCCTCTTCTGACCTCCGTGGGCATTGCACAACATGGGTGCACTTCATGCAGGCAAAACACTCATACATAAAACATAAATTTTAAAATTATTTTTATTATTTTTATTTTATGTGTATGCATGTATTACCTGCATGTAGGTAAGTGCACCCGTGTTGTGCAGTGCCCACGGAGGTCAGAAGAGGCTGTGAACTGGAGTTAGGGACAGTTGTTAGCTGCCATGTAGGTGAACCTGGGTCTTCTGCAAGAAGTCAGTGTTCTTAACTGCTGAGCCATCTCTCCAGCCCCCAAAACATAAATAATTTTTTAAAAAATTAAGAAAAATATGGGGAACTTAAATCACAAACTTCAGGAAGCTGTCAAAACAGTCCTGTTCCCAAACATCAACATGGACACTGAAGCCAGCCATGTTGTGAGAGCTCCTGGGAGGCAGGGAAGAAAGCTGCAGTTCTTCCATTTATCTCAGGGGGAGCCCAAAACATGAGAAGCACTGTGTGGATCAGATGTTGGGGAACAGACCGGAAGGGGAGTTGTAAACAAGAGGCGGGTCGTTGTTGGCCCTAAGTGGGGCTTGACTTGACCCAAAACCCACCTGCTTGGGCAGTGCAGACCTGTGCATCCTAGCCGGGCAGCTGACACCCCAGTGCCCTCTTCTATACTCTGTCTCTAGTTCCTCCTCTTAGAAAGACAAGCTCAGGCCTTTCCTGTACTTAACCACGGATTATGAAGACGTTGTTCTGGGCAGAAATCTTCCTTTCCTTTTTTCTAACTGAAACCATAGACCTGATTCAAGTCACAAGGTGCAAGGTTGTGGCATCCGAGAGGGAGACCAGCCCACGTGGCTGCTTTTCAGAAGGTTGAAGCATCTGGAAACAGACACGCACAGCCTCCGTGCTGCACTTAATTTTAGAAACTTCTTAATTTTAATGTGTTGTCCATGGCACAAAAGAAGTTTTCACTGGGAGACTTCTGTGGTGTTTGAGGTGACGGCTCTTATGTTACTCGAGTCCCTTAACAGCAGGGCCAGCGGGAACCGTCCTTCTGTCCTGAAGGTTTTCTTTGGCCGTCTCAACCTCTGAGGCACTTTATAACATGGCTAGACGATACTGAATTTCCTCTACGATCTATGCCCAGCAGCTAACATTTTTCTTTTTGAATTGTGTAGTAACACTGCCCTGGTCCTCAGGCCGCAGGAGAACCCAAGTGCCAGAGCCTCTCCTGAGAGGGCCGAGTTGGACAATGAGGTCTTCCGTGGCCTCTGTGCAACCTGCTGCTTCTCTTCTTTAAAACAGTAGATGGGAAAAGGGAGGAACCTTCTGTGTCTTAGTGCAATTGTTCGAAATACTTAAGAGGTTAGTTTTGTCAAAACTAGAATTGAGTCTGTTACTGGTTCTCCCCAGATGCATGGCCTTCACTCCCGAGACAGGCACTCCTTACCCTTCTTCCTGAAGAGTGAGCTCTTGGGTTCTGGTGTGCCTTGTCTCTGCCTGGCTGGCTCACCAGAGACCATGTGTTTGAACTTGAACCTGGAGCAAGGATAAAGTAAATGACAGCCTTAAACCCAGACTGAAGATTTTGCTCCGTGCACTTTTCTGTAAAGACAATTACAATAAGTGAGGGGATGTTAAGATTAGCATTCCTTGTTTGACTCAGAATTCAAGAGAGGCACAATGCCAGCTACACAGGAAGATGAGCGTGATGCTGCCCAGCGATACAGCAAGCCATGGTGGCTGCAAGTGTGCTCCTATTGGATACAGCTCTCATGGAAGGATGGCTCCTATTGGATACAGCCCTCATGGAAGGATGGCTCTTATTGGATACAGCTCTCATGGAAGGATGGCTCCTATTGGATACAGCTCTCATGGAAGGATGGCTCCTATTGGATACAGCTCTCATAGAAGGATGGCTCTTATTGGATACAGCGCTCATGGAAGGATGGCTCCTATTGGATACAGCCCTCATGGAAGGATGGCTCCTATTGGATACAGCTCTCATGGAAGGATGGCTCCTATTGGATACAGCTCTCATGGAAGGATGGCCTTGGGAAGTCTCCTCATTGGCCTGGCCTGTGGCACTAATCATCTGCTGCTGAGTAGCTAGGCACCCATCTGTAAACTCTGGTATCTGCCTGCCCTGCACCTGCCCACTTCCTCTCTCCTGCCGTCATCTTCAGTCTTAGACTGAACTTTATGAGTTTTTGTTATATCTGTATTACCTAACCTCTGTGTTGCCCTTGGAGGAATCCATGACTGCCTGCGGCCAAGATGGTAATGGTGGATGTAGGCATCTTGTTCCTTCTGCATGGTTTTCTTTCCATCCCATTGTCTGAGTAGCTCTTAAAGGGCTCTGGTGTGTGAAAGAAAAGGAATTCACATACAAATCAACCAGTAAAGAGAAAATGCTGTTTAAATCATGTCTGTTAACTCTGGGAAGAGTGCTTTATTAACTTACCTGTCCTCCTACAAATAGAATTGACTAGACATCAGAGCTGTCTATTTGAGTTTGGACCATGCCAAATAGGAAAGTGGAGACCATTCTTTCCACTTAACAGTTCTGTCGTGTTCCAAATTCCAGAAAAGAATGGGAGTTGTGCCAGGCCTGGTGGCAGTTCCTGTAATCCCAGCCCTCAGGAGGAGGTAACAGGACATCCTTGACTTCATAGTGAATTTGAGACCAGCATGGGCTACATGACTCTCATCTCAGAAATAATGAGAAAGTGTATCTCTCTTTATAAAAAGATTTGCAGTTATTCCAAGAGAGTGTCTGTATCATTAATTAATTAATTTTCTTTAGTATTTTGCCAGAGGTAAATTAGAGATTTTTACCATCCAGTCAGGGGCAGGGATGAATTTCAGCTCGTCTGTACATTGATCCCGTGGCTTCTGTCGGAGGTGGCTTTGGATGCAGCCTCTCCGTGGCACCCTGTGCTGCTGACGAGAGGGCAGGGCCCCTCCTTTGGCCCTCACTCCTGGGCTTCCCCAGGGACCTGAAGTGGCGCCCAGGCAGCAGCATCTCCTGTTGCAAAAAGGGAGCCGATTTTCTAAGGCTCTGAGACTTATCCAGAGGTTTAAAAATATTTTTAGCTTTCTTTAAAAAAAAAAAAAAGCCTATTTATTTAGCATTTTAATGCATGTTGTTTCCAACTGAATAAGTCTATTTTCAAAACAGCGATCAAGAGATTTGGCTCATTTTTCTTTCACTGGCAAATATGGCAAGGTCTGTTTTCCATACGGTGTGTCTACTTCAAGTTGCCATTTGATTATGAGTAGTTCATTATCCAGATAGACCTTTAAAAATAGAGCATTGGCTAAGGAGTTCTGTGCATATGGCTATGTGTGTATTTAGGATGATTTAGGATCAGTACATAGTGCATGCAGTATTATGGAGAACGTTAGTCTTGCCATTAAAGACACAGCTTAAATGAAAAGAAACACTGCCAGCATCTCAGCATCTCCAGGGTGGGGGTGAGTGGCGTCCCCACATGGCTTGGCAGTCTCACAACGGTCAGCCCATCATCATGCCTACCTTTCCTGGCTCCCAGTGTCTACACCATGCAGTCCAGTCCGCCCTGTCTTGCAAACCCAGTTAGCCCTCCTGAAACTCTGCATTGCACACCCGGACATACACCCTCTCCTGTGAGGGCCTTGAGCTCCTGGGGGCCGGGGGGCAGTCTTTAGCGTCTGGAGTTGTTGGAGTTGGTCTCCATCTGCTTTTACTTGACTTGTGGTCTTGAAGATCTTACTTGGCCCATGGGTGCTGCAGTGTGCCCAGAGGATGTGGAGTTCTGTCAGCCAGTGAAATATGCCTGGCTCTCCCCCATCCCTTCTTCATCCTGTGTGGTCTCTACTAAACTGAATTTGTATGTGCGAACTCTACTGGTGTTGTCATTTTCTGTGACTCGGCCTTTTCGAGGAGGTGTGGAGAGGGCCTGTCTGAGCCTGAGAAGTGCAGCATTTCTAGCCTTAAAACCCCAGCTGGAAGTGGAAGCAGGGCTCCCTGGAGGTGAGCCCGCGTCCACAGTGCCAGTGCCACCCTACAGTGACAGCGGTGACCTTGGCCCAGACGTGTGTGGCTGCTACACTCTTCAGGCCGGCCTCCAGCTCCAAGTTTTGTCTGAGATCCAATGATTTTTTTTTTCAGGCACTTCTGCAATCCTCAGTTAAGCAACAGGTAGAGGCCATCGAGAAGCAGTATGTGTCTGCCATCGAGAAGCAGGCCCAGCGCTGTGAGAAGCTGCTCCAGGCCCAGGTACGGAGCCCAGGTCTGCCACACTGGCTTCCCGCAGCCCTCCCCTGCTGCAGCCC